AAGGCCTCCGTGCCAGAACTCCCAGGCGTACCCCCTTTCTGTCTCCAAAGAATAAGAAGAGTCGACTGCAGTATGCCAAAAGCCATGTGGGGACAAACCACAAAAGTTGTTGGAATAGTGTTCTGTGGACTGATGAAACAAAATTAGAACTGTTTGGGCCCATGGATCACACGCTATGTTTTGGAGGAGGAAGAACAAGCCTATGATGAAAAGAACACCTTGCCTACTGTAACAGCATGGTGGAGGGTCAATCATGCTTTGGGGCTGTTTTGCTTCTGCAGGTACAGGGAAGCTTCAGCGTGTGCAATGTACCATGATTCTCTTCAGTACCAGAGATATTGGATAGGAAACGTGATGCAAGTCCGTCACACACCAGAGGCTTGGGAGACTTGGACCTTTCAACAGGACAAGATCCCAAGCATAACCTCCAAGTCCACTAGAGCATGGTTGCAGAGGAAAGGCTGGGAACATTTTAGGAGTGGCCATCGCAGTCACCAGACTTAAATCCGATTGAGAACCTCTGTGGGACTAAAGAAAGCATTGCAGTGCGCAAGCCTAAGAATGTGACTGAACTGGAGGCCATTTTGCCCATGAAGAATGGGCGAAGATACCCGAAGATCGCTGCAAGACACTTGTGTCAAGCCTATGCTTCACGTTTAAAAAGCTGTTATAACTGTAAAAGGATGCTGTAACTAAGTACTAAGATTGAATGTCACTTGGGGGATGAATAAAACTGATAATGCGTGTGAGCCACAGAAAAGACATTTGTGGTTATTTCATATAACTGTTTATGTTATATTTGTCTGACCTACAAGTGCCTCTTTAATGTAAATGTAAGCAAGATGACTGAATGATCAAAAGCAATGTCAAACTGGCCAAAACACTCCAATTCAGTGGTGGTTGAATAAATTTGGACACAACGTGTATATGCAACTTTGTTTGGTCGGATGAATCATTAATACATTACCCTCCATTGTTTACATTAATTTGTACGTTTAATTTGTGCATGTTAAACCTTCAATGTATTTCTTTTAATTCAGATGTGCACACGGCCAATTCTTTTTACTACATGCTCAAGCGCTGCATTTTTGCTGTTTTTATTTTCTATGAGGAGGTTATACGAGGTTTACCTTCATGGCTAGCAGCTTGAATCCCTCAGACCAAGCGCTCGACTCTTTACCCCATTTTACTATAGGCTATACATATAAGTTTCGGATATACGAAAGAAAAGAGAGTCACGTGGAGCCCCCCAGATGCCACACTACATGGGGTGTCAAGATAGTCTGGGACTTGGTGTCATCCTTTTTTCATATGGTGGTACCACTTAACGTGGCCAATTTTTTATTCAAGAGTGCCACTAATTTAGAAATTTGGTAACAATCTTGGAACTGGTGCATGTGGAACCGTGCGACCTAATGTGTGCCCACCATTTAAAGTGGGTGGATGCAGGGCGGTAAACTCTAATGGTTGAGCATACCACATACTTTTTCTGGCAGAGATTTCTTCTATTTTTTTTTTCCCCATTCAGCCCACAGGCTTCATACAAAAAAAAAACAAAAAAAAAAAAAAAAAACATAGCATACATACCCAACAAGGACCAGCAATGTACTGGTACATCACTGGACTTTGAATGGTTATACCAGGATGATGCCTACAGCTGCTTTCATGTAAAAGCAACCCTAGTGGCTAGTTAGCTGCATGGATTGCTTTTACAAGTAGCAGGAGACTAAGCCCCCCTCCCCCCGCTGCCTTCCACGGCCTTCTCGGGCAGTCCCGTGCCATCGGGAGAACTATAGTCTAAGAAATCAGAAGCTACGAGCATTTCATCACTTCAGTTTCGTAGGATATAAACAGCACCATTTGTAAATTGGGAAAGCATCTGATCACACCGATCTTGGTGAGATTAGATAATGTAAGGACAGAGGAGATATCTAGAGTCTGATAGACCCCAGATTTCTCAAAAAATAATATATGACAATGCCCATTGACGTTATAGGGGATATTTGCATACGCTGTGATAGCATTAAAAATGATAATAAAAAAAAAAAAAGCACCCCGCCGCCCCCCCAGCGGTTGTACCATGCATGTGAGGTATCACCGCAAACGTCAGATCGAGGGCAGTAATTCTAGCACTAGACCTCCTCTGTAAACCTAAAATGGTAGCTTTTAAAGCGTTGCCTAAGGATATTAAAAAAGGATGAAGTTTGCACAATTTTAAAGCATGTCATGTTTGGTATCTATTTACTCAGCATACCATCATCTTTTATATTTTACCAAATAATTGGCCAATATATTGTGTTAAATCGATGTGCGAGTACTATGTGACATTATAAAATTGTAGTACCCACCATTTTATTCACTAGGGTGTCTGCTTTAAGAAAATATATAATGTTTGGGGGTTCAAAGTAATTTCCTAGCAAAATATACAGATTTTTTTTCATGTGAACAAATGTATCAGAAAGGCTTGGTCTTCAGGTGTTTAGAAGAGTGAATGTGTGGCATAAACTTCTAATGCTGGGCATAAAATGCCCCCCACCCCCCAAAATGACCCCTTTCTGGAAAATAGACACCCCAAGGTGTTTTTGGAATATGAAAAAAGAAAAAAACATTTTTTCTTTTCTTTTTTTTATATGTCAAAACCCTTGTGAGAAAAAATGAGATCTGCAAAATACTCAACATGCCTCTTTGTAAATTCCTTGGGGATTCTACTTTCCAAAACGGGGTAATTTGGGGGGGGGGGGTTGGTGCTATCCTGGCATTTCAGGGCCTCCGAAGCTGTGATAGGTAGTGAGGAAGTGAAATGAGGAAGTTAAGCACCTTCAGGCTTTCAAAGTAGTCACTGGATTTCAGGCTCCTGTATGTGGCTAGGCTCCCAAAAAGTCTCACACGTGGTATCCCCATACTCGGTAGAAGTAGCAAAATGTATTTTGGGGTGTAATTCCACATATACCCATGGCTTGTGTGAGAAATATATCATTTAAACAACAACTTTGTGGAAAAAAAAAAAAAAAAATCTTCCATGGACTCAGCAGATAGCTTAGGGTGTCTACTTTCCAAAAAGGGGTAATTTGGGGGTGTTTGTATTGTCCTGGTATTGTAGCACCTCAAGAAATGTGATGGGCAGTCAGGAAACTGTGTAAATTCCATTATCCATACCATAGTTTTTAGATGCTATAACTTTCACCCACAGCAATCAATATACACTTATTGTTTTTTTTTTTAACCAAAAACATGTAGCAGAATACATTTTGGCCTAAATTTATGATGAAAATTTAGTTTTTTTGATTTTTTTTATGACAGAAATGAGAAAATATTGTTTTTTTTTTCTTTTCAAAAATATATATTTTTTTAAACCTTTTGTTTATAGCACCAAAAAAAAACAAAACAAAACAAAAGAAACAAAAACAAAAAAAAAACGCAGAGGTGATCAAATCAAACTGAAAGAAAGGTCAATTTGTGTGAAAAAAAAAGCACGTAAATTTAGTTTGGGTACAGCATTGCATGACCGCGCAATCAGTTGAATTAGTGCAGTGCCTAATGGCAAAAAGAGGCCTGGTAATTAAGGGGGGTAAACCCTCAGGATGGCAAGTAGTTAATCTTTCAAATTAAAGAGGCGGTAAAGTCTGGTTCATGACTTGTACCTACAGGTAAGTCTATAATAAGGCTTACCTGTAGGTACAGTGACTATCTCCCAAAATGTGTACCAATGCATATTGAATGCATACTGGAGTATGCCATCAATTGAGAGCGCTTTGCTGCGACCGTGATGTCATCGCGCCGAGACCAATCAAAAAGCCGGAGCTTGCAAGCCCGGAAGGAACACCAGGTGAAGATGGAAGCGCCGACATCATTTGGAATGCTCTTATAGCAGCCCTGATGCTAAAAGTTTGTGTGAATAGTTAAATGTCAATACAAATTAACTGGTTATTTGTTGAAGATATCAATGTAGTGTGCTTGTGACTCTGCAGCATTCTACAACTCTAGGACGCACAAAGTCCAGCTTTCCAACATCCATTGCGTATGGAGCCTAAGGCTTTTGTCAGTTAACATATGAATTGATTTGATCTCAACAGTATCTGTGTGTGTGTGTGTATATATTATTATTAATATACAGGATTTATATAGCGTCAACGATTTGCTCAGAGCTTTACATTATAGTGGGAGACAATACAGTAACAATACAGTTCAATACAAGAGGGATTTGAGGGCCTTGCTCCTTGGAGCTTACAATCTAGGAGTATATCCATATACTAGATTGTAAGCTCCAAGGAGCAAGGCCCTCAAATCCCTCTTGTATTGAACTGTATTGTTGCTGTATTGTCCCTCTTTATATTGTAAAGCGCTGAGCAAACTGTTCCTGTATAATAATAATATACACACACACGAATATGTAGCAGTACTAGTGTGAACCTAGTCAAAAGCTGGTCATACATGGGTTGAATGAATAATAAAAAAAAAAAAAAAAAAAAGAAGAAGGATCCCAATCCCACTATCCACACATTCAATGTGGATGCAGGGATCCTCCTCTCTCCGTCATTGTATTCTGACAGCAGGGAAACTCTCTCACCATCAGAATACACAGACCAGCACTGCAGCACTACCAGAGTGGAAATATACCGCCAGGGCGACTGAACAGAAGTAAAATGGTAGATCGACTTCTGTTCAACCACAGTGGCCAATCATGGATAGAAATTTGGCCACTCCCTGCTGAACCGGCTGAATTTTGATCCATGTATGGCCAGTTTAAGAAATGAAACTGTAGTCAGATAAATCTCAATTTGTAAACAATGCAATTGTTGTTACTTTAATCATACATGTCTATTTCAGAAACTCATCTGCTCAAACCCTAATTGCTGCCAAAATAGTAGAGTTCATTTGATGTAACACAGAAATTAATATTAAATACTTCTCAAGTGGTGAACTGCATTGTGAGTGTAAGCTAAAGCCAGGACAAAGACTAAAAAGTACAAATTTTGTGAAGTGTTCTATGTGACACTGACCTGCTGAGGGGTGATTGTGTCTTTATAGCTTGGAAGTATCTTAAGAGTCACACTACCACTGATACTTTTGAGCAGCTCTTGTAATTCCTTTGGATTGTTTCCCACTTCGTGGCCATTAACTTCTTTAATGATGTCTCCCACGTGGAGAAGACCTTGTCGATCGATCATTCCGCCATGAAGGATCCGAGCAATTACTAGATTATTATTTTCCACTTTAAATGTCACACCCTGTAAAAACACACAAGATATAAAACAGTGGAAAACCAAAAATATGGTCTTTAAGAGGCAAAACAAATGCTGTGCCTAAATATGCTCTTCGACATAATACAGGAATGCTATAACCTGATATTATGTATAATTTTAAATATTTATTTATTTCAGGTACTTGTATAGCGCCGTCAATTTACGCAGCGCTTTACATATATATTGTACATCCACATCAGTCCCTAACTCTCAAGGGGCGTACAATCTAAGGTCCCTAACTTACACATACTAGGGACAATTTAGATAGCAGCCAATTAACCTACCAGCATGTCTTTGGAGTGTGGAAGTAAACCGGAGTACCCGGAGGAAACCCACGCAGGCACAGGGAGAACATGCAAACTCCAGGCAGGTGGTGCCGTGGTTGGGCTTCGAACCGACGACCCTAGTACTGCCAGGCAGAAGTGCTAACCATTTAGCCAATGTGCTAAAGTCTTTCTAAACAAGAATTCATTGACGGGTGTACCCATAGCATTTAGTTGGCAAAGGATATGTTCTAATAAGGAAGCCCAGCACTGGCAGCCTGCTTTGTGGCAGCATCTGTGAATTCACTACATCATCTGAGAGAGTGGGCATCTCTGCTATTCAGAATGTCTCCATCCTGCTCCTCCCACTACTTGCCCACTACCAATACTAGGAGTTCCCAGCTGTCAAAATATTACATAGCAAGAATTTTTTTTAAGATGCAGCTGCTACTGTGCAGAAAGGCACTTGCAAACAAAATGCTAAATTTTTTAATACTTTTTATTAAATAACTTGTTTTCCTAACTTGTCTTTGGCAAGTCCTTTTTTTTCAGCGACAAATTAAAAAAATTACTCGAAAATGAAAAAAAAAAAAAAAAAAAAAAAAAAAAAACCCTGAAAAACAGAAAAATTATGAAAATGAGATTCAACCCCCCCCCCCCCCCCAGCCCATTTTCACCAGTGTTTTTGAATGAGCAGTGTTACTGTACAATAAATGTATACATATGGGATATCCTATATATTGCCAAAAGTATTGGGACGCCTGCCTTTACACACATGGACTTCAATGGCATCCCAGTCTTAGTCCGTAGGGTTCAATATTGAGTTGGCCCACCTTCTGCAGCTATAACAGCTTCAACTCTTCTGGGAAGGCTGTCCACAAGATTTAGGAGTGTGTCTATGGGAACGTTTGACCATTCTTCCGGAAGCACATTTGTCAGGCAGGCACTGATGTCGGACGAGAAAGCCTGGCTCGCAGTCTCCGCTCTAATTCATCCCAAAGGTGTTCTATTGGAGTTAGGTGAGGACACTCAAGTTCCTCCACCCCAAACTCGCTCATCCATGTCTTTGTGGACCTTGCTTTGTGCACTGGTGCGCAGTCATTTTGGAACAGAAAGGGCCATCCCCAAACTGTTCCCACAAAGTTGGGAGCATTAAACGGTCTAAAATTATTTGGCAAGCTGACACCTTAAAGGTTCCCTTCACTGGAACTAAGGGGCCAAGCCCAACCCCTGAAAAAAAAACCCCACACCATAATACCCCCTCCACCGAACTTTACACAATGCAGTCAGGCAAGTACCGTTCTGGCAACCGTCAAACCCAGACATATCCATCGAATTACCAGACAAGTGTGATTTATCACTCCAGAGTACACAGCTCCACTGCTCTAAAGTCTAGTGGCAGAGTGCTTTACACCACTTCATCTGATGCTTTGCATTGCACTTGGTGATGAAGTCTGGAGGTCTTTAGCTGTTGACTCTGCAGACAGTTGGCGACTTCTGCGCACTGTGCGGTTCAGCATGCGCTGACCCCGCTCTGTCATTTTACATGGCCTACAACTTCGTGGCCGAGTTGCTGTTGTTCCCAGTTGCTTCCATTTTGTTATAATACCACTAACAGTTGACCGTGGAATATTTAGTAGGAAGTAAATTTCACGGATGAACTCATTGCACAGGTGGCAACCTATCACAGTACCACGCTTGAATTCACTGAGCTCCTGAGAGTGAACCATTCTTTCACAAATGTTTGTAGAAGCAGTCTGCATGCCTATGTGTTTGATTTTATACACGTGGACATGGAGGTGATTGGAACACCTGAATCCAGTGATTTGGAGGGGTGTCCCAACACTTTAGGCAATATAATGTACATATACAGGCATACCTTGGTTTACGAACTTAATTAGTTCCGCGGAACTTTTCGTATAGCGAAAAATTCGTAAGCCGAAACGCCGTTTCCCATAGGGATACATTGAAAACCAATTAATCCGTTCCGGAGGTCAGAAAAAAGTAAACGCTACTAAAATACAGCATGAGTTATTGTATCAAGTCATGCGGTAATTTAGTAGTGACAACCATGCGTTAATGTTTCAGCTGTCAGCGGGGTTTCCCACTGACAACTGAATGTAAAAGAAAGAATTGCCGGCAATTAACAAAATTTTAAAAACAGCATGGGGTCCCCCCTCCCATCAATTCCAAGCCCTTTGGGTCTGGTATAAATTTTGAAGGGAACTCTCATGCCAGAATTAAAAAAAAAAAACAAACAAAAAATGGCGTGGGGGTCCCCCCCAAAATCCATACCAGACGCTTATCCGAGCATGCAGCCCAGGAAACCATACCAGGCCACATGCCCTCAACATGGGGAGATGCTTTGAGGCGGGGGGGGGCTCCCCCCCCCCCAGAGCACCTTATTGGAATCTGGAAGCCCCCATTAACAAGGAGGCCCCCAGATCCCACCCCCACATGTGAATGACATGGTCCCGCTACTCATTCACAAAAAACAAAAAGTGTAGTGTGAAAAAAAAGACAGGTCCTTTATTAAAAGAAATATTAAAGAATATCCCCCACAGTAGATCCAATGTCAATCACAATGTCCACCAACGCAAAATAATAATAAAAAAAAGAAAAAAGGCTTTGCTCCCGACGATGGCTCCCGGCCGTCTGCCTCTGAGCTGGCTTGACAGTTCTTAAATATGTAAGGGGCGGGGCCACCCAGTGAAATCAAGTGTGTGGTCCCACCTCCTTGTGACATCATTGACCCAGCATGCCCCGGTTGATGACGCCACAAGGAGGTGGGGCCACACGCGTAATGTCACTGGATGCGGCCGCCCCTTACATATTTAAGAACTGTCAAGCCAGCAGAGCAGGTAGTGCGTCCTTTTAATAAAGGACTTGTCAAAGACCGTGTCCTATCTTTTTTCACACTACGCTTTTTGTGAATGAGAAGTGGGACCATGTACCCCATACTCATTCACATGGGGGGAGGGGGTGCTGGGATTTGGGGGCCCCCTTGTTAAAGGGGGCTTCCAGATTCCGATAAGCCCCCTGCCCGCAGAACCCCACAACTACAGGCCAGGGTTGGGGAGAAGAGGCCCTTGTCCCCATCAATATGGGGACAAGGTGCTTTGGGGGGGGGAGCCCCCCTGCCCAAAGAACCCCTCCATGTTGAGAGCATGTGGCCTGGTACAGTTCAGGAGGGGGGGCGTTCACTCGCCCCCCCCCCCTTTCCTGACCTGCCAGGCTGCATGCTCGGATAAGGCTCTGGTATGGATCTTGTGGGGGACCCCCACACCATTTTTAATTTTGGAGTAAGGGTTCCTCTCAAAACCCATACCAGACCCAAAGGGCTTGGTATGAATGGAGGGGGAACCCCATGATGTTGTTTAATTTATTATGGTTCTGGTTTTTAAATGTAATTACCATTTTTTTTTCTTCATTATAGCTCAGAGATTCAGCTGTCACTTTCCCCCCAGCTAAAAGAAAGAAAGTTTCCTTTTATTTCTCCGAGTTAAAAGAAACAATGTTTCCTTTAAGTTTCTTAAAAAAAACAAAGTTTCCTTGAACTCCGGGGAAGATGACAGCTAATTCTGTGAGCTATAGTGAAGAAGAAAAAAAAAAGCCAGCAATTCCAGTGAAAAATCTGCACCGACATACACTTGGTGTTGCCAAAAAAAATTAGTAAAAAAAAAAATAATCGTAAACTGAGGCATTATTTTCAATGGATTTTCATTCGCAAACCGAAAATTATGTTAACCGAGGTACACCTGTATATCTCGTCAAAACCAATGTGGGGCACATACACCTGCACTGGATGGGAAGAGTTTGAAAAACAGTCCACTGTTAGAGCATTTGGGATAGTGTCTTTCATCACTTAGACCTAAAGCAAGCAAGATCTACACTGCATTGGATTCAGTGAAGGACAGATGAGACATCAGAGTTTTTTTTATTTTTTTTTTTAAAACACCTTGCGTCTCATTAACCACTTCAATACTGGCCACTTTCACCCCCTTCCTGCCCAGGCCAATTTTCAGCTTTCAGTGCTGTTGCACTTTGGATGAAAATTTAGCAGTCATGCAACATCGTAACCATATTAATTTTTTTATGATTTTTTTGTAACAGATAAGAGCTTTTTTTTAATTACCACTGGGTTTTTCGTTTTTTGCTAAACAAATGAAAAAAGACTGAAAAAAAAATTTCTTTATCACTGAAGGGCTCTGATAAGGCTGCACTGATGACCAGTGCTCTTATTATCTGTGTAAACCGTGTACTAACAGCCTTGACAGTAATTGGCTTTCCTTTCACACAGGCATAGTGTATGAGGAAAGGACTGCCGATAACCGGCAAGCCTGTTTACATGTGATCAGCTGTGATTAGACACAGCTGATCACATGGTAAAGGGCTGCTGTGATTGTGATACGTTACATATCACTGCACATGCCGGAGTGAGTGCAATAACTTTAGCACTGGTGCTCCTGTGTCATGTTAAACTGATGAACTGTAGGGCCTTTTATAGTGTCATCTATGGAAAATATAGGGTACTGCAGTTTGTCACCATTTCATGTACTTTTAAGCCTTGTTGGGTATCTATTTACTTGGCACAACCTCATCTTTTATATTTTACAAAAAAAAGGGTAATTTATTACTTGTGTGCCCCAAAACTAACTTAAGTTTATTTTCTACTGAAATTTTGTACTAATATCATGTAACATAAAAAAAATGGAACTACCACTATTTTATTCTCTAGGGTATCTGCTTTCAGAAAACACATAATGTTTTGGCAATATTCAGGGCTAAAATTATTTTTTAAACATATGAGCAAAAAAAAAAAAAAGACTGGCAGCAAATGGGTTAAAAGCTAAGCATTCAACATCAATTAAAGAAAAATCAGTTGTGGTTTACAATTCGGCTAGAAGAATGTAAAAAGGGTGATTTTATGCCACAATATGTGAAAATTATAATATATATTGCATGAAGGATGCCTTACCAAAGGTTCCCCGGCTCTTTTATGAATTCCAACCATGCGGATGGCATCAACTGGTGCAATTTGATTGTTCACTGCAGAATTCATTTCTGGACTTGAGGGGGGAGAATCATAACATTTGGCTGCAACTATATCATGTGCTTCTAAAAGACTCTGCAACCAAAAATAATGATTACATAAGAAAAAGCACAAACATTTTCACCTACATGCTTTAAAGATCTATTGTAACATAACAATATATATGCACATTTACCAAAAATATTTGAAGTGATTTAAAAGCTTACCTGCTCTGTGCAATGGTTTTGCTCAGAGCAGCTCCAATCCACTTCTTTTTGGCTCCTCCCGCCTGCAGAGTGCCCCCAATAGCAAGCCTCTTGCTATGGGTGCACTCGCAAACTCACTCCTGGGCCACACTCTGTATGTCCAAGCACACACAGAGCACAGCTCGGCCCTGCCCCCACTCTCTCCTCATTGGCTCACTGACTGATTGACAGCAGCAGGAGCCAATGCGGAGAGAGATACCTCAGAGAGCCGCTGCACTCATGCACATAGCTAGATTGAGATGGGGCTCAGGTAAGTATAAGGGGGCTGTACCCAGAAGGTTTGTGTTTTTTTTTTTTTTTTAAAAACCTTGAGCCTTTAGAACCACTTTAAAGTGAAAAAAAAAAAAAGCTGACAGGTAGAAGTTTTATCACAGACGAAACCCATTAGTCTGTTTTGTCATAAGTGCTTATTACTGCCTGTCAGTAGTAATATACACTGAGCATTACACGAGCGGCTCAGCTTACAATTGCAGCACCTCTTATTGCTGTGATGTGACCCCTGTGCACATGCACAGAACAGATGTCATCGTGCCCAGCCAGCCAAGAAGCTGAAAAGTCCAAACCTTGAAGGCAGACTGGGGAGAAGGTGTATGCACCTGTGACAGCCAAAAGCCACTGCAGCACTGGAAGGGATTCTTTGATAGGCAAGTCTGCCAAAATGTACTAATATGCTGTGTATACAAGTAAATTATGGGGTGAACTGGTATCTGGACAGTAAATGTAGCATAATATCCCTAAAAAACTGAGGTTCTTTGCCTCCATGCAATATCAGAAGAAAGGCCATCTGACGATGTCAAGAAAATGTCCTGAATAGGTCAGAAGGGAGGTCTTGGCAACACCAACAATACTACACTTGGATCCCAAAGAGTGATAAACGAACAGGGGTGCAACAAGAGCAACATTTCATATGAAATCACTGAATGATTAGTAAAGAGGACATGGGGCTGACAGGGTAAATACCAGACTTCCGATAGAACTAAGGGCCAAGTGTTGCTCCACCCTTAAATGAAGAAAGCAAAAAACATGGCCAACTGAAAGACAGGTAGGAAGACACATAACACACATATATATATATATATATATATATATATACACACACACATACACACACATACATACATGCTCAGACACGTTGAGTTAAAGCGGAATTCCACCCAAAAAGGGAAGTTCCATTTAAATGCTTTGTTCCCAGCTCCCCATTAAGGATTGATGCCTTTGGGGAGCGGGTACCCAAATTCGACAGGTATCCACTCCCACGTCCGCTGCGATCGCCCGAGGCGATCGGAAGTGGAAATTGTTCTCCCCCCCTCCCTCCCCGTAGTCTTCTGGTACATGTGACAGGTCCCAGAAGACTACGGGGGCCATTCACAAAGCGCAGCGCTTCTCGCGTATGCGCAGTGGGCACCCATCTGTGAAGCCACAAGCGGTCACAAGCCGGTTGCCCACACTAAAGGTGCCTGCACCAGGGAGAGAAGACTGCTGGTAAAATCAGCGGTGGTGAAGACACCGCTGGACCGAGGGACAGGTAAGTGGATGTATTTTAAAAGTCAGCAGCTACAGTTTTTGTAGCTCCTGACTTTTTTTTCTTCAGCTGAAACTCTGCTTAAAGCTAGATGTATACAAAATATAAATTATAGAAATTTGGTGATATTTCAGACTTCCCTATAAAGTCTGTCTTTCTAGAGTAAACATCAGTTTTTCTTGTGTGATGTAGATACACATGGTCAGACAGTTTGGTAACAGCTAAATTTACACATTAAAAGGAAGATCTTCAGCAGTAATATAATAGAATTGGCATACTTCATCTGCTTATTCTTTTGAAAAAAAAAAAAGAATGAAAATAAAATGCCTTACTTTAGATGAACAGATTGTGTTTGTAATGATAGGCCAAAACACTAAAGGGAACTTGTATACGAATGGTCATAAAATCCAGGTTATTACATAAAAACATGTGCAAGGCCATGGGCATTTCAAAGGGAAAGCCGTGTACAAATCTAGTAGGGTTATAAAATGCAGGTTGTCTAATCAAGAAGGTAAAATTGAAATGACTGAAGTATTTAATAGGGGACTTGCTTATGGTAAATAGCATTTAAATGGGTAACTTATTTACCTATGTAAGAACAACTGGTATATGCAAGCTAGCATTGACCAAGGAACATTGTTTGTTAACCATAAGATCAAAATTGCTTGTATGATTAACCAATCAGCTTTCTCTACATTATAGTGAACGGGGAGTAGGTGTATATTAGAAGAGGCTGATTTGGCTAAAAAGGAAAGAAGAATGGGATAAACGGAAGGGGTCTGCAAAAGACCAAAAAAGACTGCCAAGGAGAACTTGGAGACAGCAGTAAATCTAGAATAAAAGGAGAACCCAGTTTCTGCAATTGCTCGAGTAGCCTCAATTGCCTACAGAAATCATGAAGCCACTATAATCCAAGCTAAGTGACTTTTAAGCGCATCCCTATAGCATACAGACCACTGTCAATGCTCATTTGCTAGAAAGGTTAGATAGCATGTGCATGATGTTGCATGCATATATGTATTACTCGGTATGTCTTGTTTTCCTACAGTTGTAAATAGTTTGCATGTGCAGCATTCAGCATTCTTTTTCTGTAAAAAACACATTAATATACTACAGGGGTTTCTATTTCCATGTTTTTTCACAAACTAACCAAAAAGATAAAAGTAAAAAAGTATACAAGACAGATATTTTATGCATGTAAAAATTATACAAGACATATTATACAGTATTTATATAGCGCCAAAGAGTTTGCTCAGCGCTGTACAATAGCAAGGGGGACAGAACATGAGACAAGACAGAAACAATACAATACACGAGGGGTTCGAGGGCCCTGCTCTTTCGAGCTTACAATCTAGGAGGAGATATTTTATGCATGTGTGTTGTATGCTTACACTCTAACTTTCCTAGAAAATGAACATTTCAAATGGTTCCTATTGTATGCTATAGATATACAGCAAAAAAAGTCACTTAGCTTGGGTTATACTACTCCCTGTAGGCAACCTGTACTCCAGGCTACTCAGGAATTGCAGAAACCAGGTTCTCTCGTAGTGTAGATTTAGTGCCTTTCCCAGGTAAGGTGGCACAATCTGTAGTATTATGGATTCCCCTTCAGTCCATCCAGTTCTTCTGTCATCCTTGCAAAATCAGTATATATATATATATATATATATATATATATATATATATATATATATATATATATATATATATTTATTGAGGTTGACATTCCACGTTGAGGCCAATCTGGAGCTATGCAATTTTCTGAAATTCCCTCGGCTTTGATCCTTCCAAGTAGACAAGGTAAAAGTTTCTGTGTGGAATAGCATGAGTCAGGGCATAGCGATTCCACAGCACCAACAGGACCCCCACTGCTGCATCCACTGTCGGGTCCCATATCTTGAAAACAAATCTGCCCAGTTTCTTTTTAAACCAAAATACTAGTAATCATTCACATATCTACAAAACATCAAACTTTACAGACCCCTAAAGAACTCGCAGTAACAGTTGTATTAATGTAAGAGTTCTTTGGGGTCTACAGAGCTCACAAGACAGGTATTTTGTAGAACGTGTATGGTGTAATTAAAACTGAGAACTCCAGCCCTATAGGATGTTTGATCAACCATTGGATTGATTAAAAAAAAAAATCACAATACTAGCACCCTACAGCTGGCATCCCCCCCAGGAGACTATTCCACTGAGTCCATTTACTGTCTTCTGGGAAAATCTTTTACATTTTTTGTATCGGTTTACAAAAATAAAGCCCAGCTTGCCAAGGTATACAAAGCATTGTCAGAATAAAAGGAGAGAATGGTTAATTCAATCTACAAAGAGCCCAGGTAGCTTTACTGCTACAGGGTGGCACTCCTGTGCAAAATCACCTATAAATGCGCGTGATTTTGCACTTCTGCCACACGGGGGCGCACACAGGCCAGTGGAGGATTGCTTCTGCTGTGAAATGTCACAGCACAAACCAATCTACAAGCCCTGGTGAGCAGTTGCTCGCTGCCACCTGCAGATTGTCAAGCAGGGAGGAAGAAAAGACAGGGAAGTCATGAATTGTGTATCTCTGCAGAGCTGAGAACAAATCCATCACTTCTCATAGTAAAAGCACCCCCTACTGTACACCAAGCACATAGCTAGGCACACACTTAACCCTTTGATCACCCTAGATGTTAACCCCCTCCCAACCAGTGTCATTAGAACAGTGATTAGTATATATTTTTGGCACTGATCACTGTATTAGTGTCACTGGTTCCCACAAAGTGTCAGTTAATGTAAAAATGTTTGCCGCAATATCGCAGTCCAGATAAGTAAATAGTTTGTAGACACTATAACTTTTGAGCAAACTAATAAATACACATTCATTGTGATTTTTTTACCAAAAAATATATTTTTATTGGATACGTTTTATAGCCGAAAATAAAATATATTGGGTTTTTTTCAAAATGTTTAGTCTTTTTTTTGTCTATAGTGCAAAAAGTAAAAATCGCAGAGGTGATCAAATGCTGCCAAAAGAAAACTATTTGGAAAAAAAAGGACATAAATTGAATTTGGGCACAGTTTTGCATAACCGCGCAATTGTCAGTTAACAGTACCACAGAGCACTATGTGTTCTCTAAAAACACCATGCAGCAGTAGAAGCCAAAATAAAAACCTATCTTGCATAGAGGGGCCTTCAGCACTGTCCATTGTAAAGCTACCAAATTTAAACACACTTTAAGTGTGATCGCATGCAGTAAATCCATTATGGCAAATCAGAAACTGGCTATGCAAGCTTTAACTCTGTAGATATCTGTTACAAAAACAGATATCTAGGTTGCTGTATATCACGGTTTGTGTTGCCATGCAATTCAAACAGAGTGCAAAAAAAGAGGCTACAAGCCATCAATCTAGGTTATTCAGACTGCAGACAATAATTTTCTCTACTTTCAAGTTATAAATATGAAAAAAAAAACAAACACACACCTGAAAATGAGGCTCTTTAAGTATATTAACTAATTCTTCAACAGTTTTATCTTCATTAGCTAAAGGACTAATATCTTCAAGAATTTCATGAATAAGTTCCACATTATTGTCACCAACTGCTTCTAGCTTAGTATCTTCTAGACGTTCATGTGCCTGCAACAAAACAGAGTGGTACACAGCTGAAGTTATGCATAAGTGTATATTATAGGCAGATCTAAGCCTGAGAACAAATATTGTAAAATATTACAACTTACCAGTCCATAATAATAGTGGCTGCATTAACCTTTTTCATTTTTTTTTCCTGCTTCACATTTATTTGGTGAGCCTGCCAGTTACATACTTCCTGTGCTAACGTGACAATGCTTACCCACCATACTGTAAATATGGAGGAGCAGAGCGGTCACCCTAGGGATACAGAAACCTCCCCATGTTCTGTTCTTAATGATATAGATGGGGGGAAATCTGTAGTCCTCAAAAATGGCTGGCAGCATTGTAACTGATAACAGTCAAAAGAAGCAGTTTCCAGGACGTCAGTTATTTTACACTAAGCAATGAAAAGAAAACCAGATACATTTTAAACAGTACATTGTAACACACCCACATATCCCAATAATGAAATGTTAGGGTAACATACACTTTAGAGACATTGTTACTTTGCCCGTTTAGGCAAGTTCAAATCTTAACTAGGTTAGGTATGAATACATAAAGAATAATAAAAATGCTAAATTAATTTCCTTTCATAAAGATGTTGCTGCTCTAAACTCCTTCAGGTTATGGAGACATAACCAGAAGCATGAGTGCTGGGTGGGTCACATGATCTGGCAAATGAAATTGCTTGGGTCAAGTGACCAGCACTAGAGTGTACCTCAAGCACCATTCTTTCAGAAAAAGTATATCTTTCAGTTTTATTATGTTTCAGTCTTCTATCTCAACTGTTACCATTGTTTTAAACTAACATTGGAGCATAGGGCCACTTTCCATAGAGCCAACCTTACTCTATTTAAAATATAGATGCATGCAGAAGTACTGTATCAGTCTAAAACACCTAAAAGGTGCCCTATCAGAAAATAAACATGCCATTCATATGCTTGGTTAACTTAGTAAATGAACTAGATAAGCATGTGCATAGCAGGTGTTTTGTAAAATTACAGACTCTCTGGCTAGAAAGATCAGGATGCTGGCCCTGGAGTATGTACCTTTAAAACATATCAGCAGAGGCAAGGCCCATATTTTAGTCCAGATGGGTTCCTATTTTGGTACACTAAACAGCTATAATATGTATGGTATGAGCCACAGTACTGATGGGGAAGGTAAATGACTTCACTTTTCAAAGTTTCAACATCAATGGTTTTCTATGTTACTTTCACAGTATACTCTATCCATGCATCACTGTGGCTCTTGCTCCTCCTCCATGGAAGATGTTCTTAAAAATTAGTGGACATTTAGGATAAATGCAAAATCATCTCTCTCAAAACCAGCCTCCCCTTCACTTGCACCCTTTGGAATGCCCGCTCTCTTTCCACGACCTGTATCACTAACTCCTTTAATCTACTTGTTGTTACTGAAACCTGTCTTCAAGAATCCTAAGCCGCTTCTCTTGCTTCCCTCTCCCATGGTGGCCTCCTCTGGACTTACTTCCCCAGACCCAGTGGACAGAAGGAAGGTGGAGTGGGAAGCCTTCTCTCCTCACATTGCACCATTCAGGTACTTCACCCACCTCCCTGTCACTCTCCTCCTTTGAGGCACATTGTATATTGTCTCCAGTTTCTTTAAGAATTCCTTTGCTCTACTGGCCACTAGACTTCTATAATCCATCCTTAATGACTTCTCTGCCTGGCTACCTTACTTTCTCTCTTCTGAAAATCCCACACTCGTTCTCGGTGACTTCAACATCCCTGTTAATACTAACACTCCTGCTACTTCTAAACTTCTCATTTAACCTCCTCTTTTGACCTGAAGCAATGGATACATGCTTCTACTCATCTTGATGGCAACACCCCAGACCTTGCTTTCTCTTACCTATGCACTCTGTGCAACTTCTCCAACAATCCTTTTCTTCTCTCAGATCACTGCCTTATCAGTTTTGCTCTCTCCCCATCTTCCACCTCCTTTCCCTCCATCCTACTAAAAGTTACTGGTAGAAACCTTCACCACCTTAACCCTCCTTTTCTCTATTCTGCTACTGACCACCTCTGACAAAATCTCACATCTGTTCTGCCCCAACCTAGCCATTTTAGTTCACAGAGAGCACTAGGCCTCGACCACTACAACCTTGACAAAAAGATGACACCAGAAGTCTCAAAAAAAGTAGCTGCGCTCCTGAGGGCCCGAGGCGTAAGACTAAGGCTGGCCATACATTATACAATTTTCTTATACAATTCCTGTACAATATCCTTTGGATTTTCCTTCAAGTATGAAGCCCAAGAGCCTGCTTTATTGGATATACAAAATGTAAGTGTTGTTTAGTTTGGAGCGCATATTATATGGTGTTTGGTAAATCTAAAGTGAAATTGAACAAGACATTTGTATAATGTATGGGCAGTTTTAGTCTCAGAAAACTTGCAACCAATATAAATCTGTCCTCCAAAAATACAATTCCTGCCTCCACACTGCCAAGCAGACCTATTTTATCACTCCCATTAACGTCTTCTCAACCAGTCCCCATCAACTATTCTCTACTTTCAGCTCTCTACTTCATCCTCCACCCACTAACTCACTCACTGCACAGGAGATCAAAAAATAATATTGACACATTTGTGATGAGCTCTCTGCTATACAGAGATACCTCCCCCACTTGACACTATGGGGTTTATTTACTAAAGCTGGAGAGTGCAAAATCAGACTCACTTCTGCATAGAAACCAATCAGCTTCAAGGTTTCATTGTCAAAGCTTCATTGAACAAGCTGAGGTTAGAAGCTGATTGGTTTCTATGCAGAAGGGAGTCTGATTTTGGACTCTCCAGCTTTAGTAAATAAACCCCTTTGTGTCCACAGGTACAATATTTCCTCATTCAACCCCACTACTATAGATGAGTTTGCTAAAAAAAAAACAACAAAATTTCTAACGCCCACCTCACCACCTGCCCCCTGGTTCCGGTTCCCTCGCAAATGGTACGGTCACCCTCTGACTCTATCCTATACACTCTAACTCACATTTTCAATCTCTTCCTCTCTTCTGGCATCTTCCCCAACTCTTTAAAACATGTACTAGTTCCCCCATATTTAAAAAGTCCTCACTGGACCCCATCAATCTTAACCTATACCCCATCTCCTTACTCCCTTTTTCCTCCAAACTCCTTGAACGGCTATTCTACAACTCACTGGGCGACTATCTCACTAAGAATAGCCTTCTTGATCTCCTTCAATCATGATTTTGTCCTCAACATTCCACAGAAACTGCTCTCATAAAATTCACAAACGACCTAATGGCTAAAACCAATGAACACAATTCTGTACTCCTACCCCTGGACCTCTCTGCTGCTTCTGACAAAGCTGACCACCCCCTTCTCAAAAAACGCTACTACTTTGGTGTCTGTGACTGTACTCTTCACTGGTTCTCATCATACCTATCCCACCACACCTTCAGCATCACAACCCTCAAGGTTCTATTCTTGGACCTCTGCTTTTCTCTATCTGTAGCTCCTCCTTGGTTAAGTTGATAGCCTCTCATGGTTTCCAATACCATCTCTAAGCTAATGACACTCAAATCAATCTCTCTACCACTCAGCTCACTCCATCAGTCTCCCCACATATCACTAATTTACTGACACAGTCTGGATGTCACACCACTCCCTCAAGCTCAATCTATCCAAGCTCATATTTCCTCCCCCACGTGCCTCTTCCCTGACTTCTCTGTCAAGATCGATGGCACAACTATCAACCTGTCCCCGCATGCCAGGGTGCTAGATGTTATCCTGGACTCTGAACTATCCTTTTGGCCCTACATCCAAGTGCTGTCCAAAGCTTGCTGTGTCAACCTATGCAACATCTCCATAATACGCCCCTTCCTAACCAACGACACCACAAAGCTTCTAATTGACTTCCTGGTCATATCTTGCCTCAACTACTGCAACTCCCTCCTCAATGGCTTAGCTTTAGATGGGCTATCCCCCTTTCAGTCCATCATGAATGCTGCTTCTAGACGTGTCCACCTTACCAACCGTTCAATGTCTGCTACTCCCCTCTGCCAATCCCTTTATTGGTTTCCACTGACGTAAGGAATTAAATTCAAAATACGAACGTAAAAGCCATCCACAACTTGGCCCACAGATATGTCACTAAGCTGGTCTCAAAATACCAACCAAATTGTTCTCTTTGCTCCTCCCAAGAACTCCTGCTCTCTACCTCCCTTGCCACCTCCTCCTATGCTTGCCTTCAGGGTTTCTCCTAAGCCTCACCCATTCTATGGAACTCCCTTCCCCAATCTGCCTATCTCCTACTCTGTCCACATTTAGGTAATCCCTGAAACCCTTCACTTCAGAAAAGCCTATCTGGCTTAACATCTACTTTTATATACTCCATGACATCATCCCCACAGTTATTACTTTCATTTAACTTGACTCTCCCTCTTAGATTGTAAGCTCTAACAAGCAAAGCCCTCTGATTTCTCCCGTATGGAATTGAATAATAACTGTACTGTCTGCTCTCATGTTGTAAAGCACCGCAAACTGTTGGTGCTAAACAAATTCTGCATAATGATAATATTATTATTATATGAATAAGGTGTTCTCATAAAAAATTTTATTTAACAAAACACTTCTTTTTTTTTTTTTTTTTTAAATATTCATTTACACTTACAGTTTGTTATTTGCCTGGAGATCTATTTCAACTACTACACAATCAGAGGCAGAGAAGTCTAAAATATTAAAATGGTTGTGAACGAGAAACTTGGGGCAAAAATGCATCTTAACTAGCATACTAAAGAAGCCCTTTTAGAGTTCATACTTATTTAGGCTGCATTCAGTCTACCTGTTGAAGATGAGGAGTTCAGTATTGAGCAATGACTTAGATAAACTGTACATAGTGCTTTGCCACTATGCTGCCAGACTTAAAGAGTAATTCCACTTACATTGAGAAAAAAAATAGCATATATAATTGTAACACAAGTCATATAGTAACTGAATGTTATTAAAGCCTTTCCTTCTCAGCCTGCAGAGCTGTAATTTTGTGCAATATGGCTACCTGGAAGTTTTCTGTACACAGAGGGTATACAGAATGCCCCTCAAAAATGACATTTCGCACTTGTGTGATTGGTTTACTGAACCCACTATGCATTTCAGAAAATACCTTGGAGTGTTTGCTTTCCAAAATGGGTTCACTTTGTGTCACACTGTGTGTTTCCACTTTCCTAGTGTTCCAGGGCCTCCAAAAATGTGATAATCAAGAAATTACATGTGTAATTTATGCTCCTTGAAAGCCCAAAAGGTACTCCTTGGATTTAGGGCCCTCTATGCATCTAGACCAGGGGTCACCAAACTTTTCAAACTGTCCTTCAGACTTAAAAGGAGCCAGATTGTGGCCATTTGGGGCAGAAAATGTCCCAGGCCCAGCATCAGTGAGAATAGAGCAGTACAGTGGCTAAATGGTTAGCACTTCCGCCTGGCAGTACTAGGGTTGTTGGTTCGAATCCCAACCACGGCACCACCTGCCTGGAGTTTGCATGTTCTCCCTGTGCTTGTGTGGGTTTCCTCCTACACTCCAAAGACGTGCTGGTAGGTTAATTGGATCCTGTCTAAATTGGCCCTAGTATGTGTATGGATGAATGTAAGTTAGGTACCTTAGCTTGTACGCCCCTTGAGGGTTAGGAACGGACTTGAATGTACAATATATATATATATATATATATATATATATATATATATATATATATATATATATACACACACACACACACACACAAACACATATATACATATACACATACATACGGGAGGTATATATGTATATACACACACACAGTATTACATTTTTGTAAATATTTTATTATATCGTTTCATGTGACAACACTGAAGAGCTGACACTTTGCTACAACATAAAGTAGTGAGTGTACAGCTTGTATAACAGTGTAAATTTGCTGTCCCCTCAAAATAACTCAACACACAGCCATTAATGTTTAAACCGCTGGCAACAAAAGTGAGTACACCCCTAAGTGAAAATGTCCAAACTGGGCCCAATTAGCCATTTTCCCTCACAGTGTCATGTGAATCGTTAGTGTTACAAGGTCTGAGGTGTGAATGGAGAGCAGGTGTGTTACATTTGGTGGTATCGCTCTCACTCTCTGGTCACTGTGAGTTCAACATGGCACCTCATGGCAAAGAACTCTCTGAGGATCTGAAAAAAAGAATTGTTGCTTTACATAAAGATGGGCTATAAGAAGATTGCCAAGACCCTGAAACTGAGCTGTAGCACTGTGGCCAAGACCATACAACGGTTTAACAGGACAAGTTCCACTCAGAACAGGCCTTGCCATGGTCGACCAAAGAAGTTGACTGCACATGCTCAGCGTCATATCCAGAGGTTGTCTTTGGGAAATAGACAAACGAGTGCTGCCAACATTGCTGCAGAGGTTTAAGGGGTAGGGGGTCAGCCTGTCAGTGCTCAGACCATACGCCGCACACTGCATCAAATTGGTCTGCATGGCTGTTGTCCCAGAAAGAAGCCTCTTCTAAAGATGATGCACAAGAAAGCCCGCAAACAGTCTGCTTGTCTTCAGCAAACTAAGGACATGGATTACTGGAACCATGTCCTGTGGTCTGAAGAGACCAAGATAAACTTATTTGCTTCAAGCGTATGTGGGGGCAACCAGGTGAGGAGTACAAAGACAAGTGTGTCTTGCCTACAGTCAAGTATGGTGGTGAGAATGTCATGGTCTGGGGCTGCATGAGTGCTGCCGGAACTGGGGAGCTACAGTTCATTCAGGGAACCATGAATGGCAACATGTACTGTGGCATACTGAAGCAGAGCATGATCCCCTCCCTTCAGAGACTGAGCCGCAGGGCAGTATTCCAACATAATGACCCCACACACACCTCCAAGACGTCCACTGCCTTGCTAAAGAAACTGAGGGTAAAGGTGATGGATTGGCCAAGCATGTTTCCAGACCTAAACCCTATTGAGCATGTGGGGCATCCTCAAAACGGGAGGTAGAGGTACGCAAGGTCTCTAACATCCACCAGCTCCATGATGTCATCATGGAGGAGTGGAAGGGGACTCCAGAGGCAACTTGTGAAGTTCTGGTGAACTCCATGCCCAAGAGGGTTAAGGCAGTGCTGGAAAATAATGGTGGCCACACAAAGTTTGACACTTTGGGCCCAATTTTGACATTTTCACTTAGAGGTGTACTCACTTTTGTTGCCAGCGGTTTAGACATTAATGGCTGTGTGGAGTTATTTTGAGTTGACAGCAAATTTACACTGTTATACACTCACTACTTTATGTTGTAGCAAAGTGTCAGCTCTTCAGTGTTGTCACATGAAAAGATATAATAAAATATTTACAAAAATGTGAGGGGTGTACTTACGTGTGTGTGTAAAGCACTGCGTAAATTGACAGCGCTATAGAAGTATCTGAAATAAATAACAATAAACATAAGACCTTCGGGTCGGTGATCAGTAGGAGGAGGAGTAATACCCGATAGTTTGTATTAGTGGGAGGAATAATACACCATCATTGATACCAGTGGATGAAATAGTGCCACATTGTTGGTGCCAGTGGAAGGATTAGTGCTTCTATCATTGGGAAGAATAGTGCCCCAAGGGCCGGATAAAAGGCTAGAAAAGGGCCACAACTGACCCTCGGGTCACAACTTGGAGACCCGTGATCTAGATTGTGAAAAAGTCTCACACATGTGGTATCCCCCTACTCGAGAGGCATAGCAGAATGTGTTTTGAAGTGTAATTTTAAAATGGAAAACCGTGGGGAAAAAAAAAAAATTTCATTTCATTTTCCAAAAAAATTTTGACAAAAAAAAAAATACAACAACTTTAGCTCTTGCTAAATACCTTAGAGTGTCTACTTTCAACAAAGCGGTAATTGTGTGTGTGTGTGTGTGTGTGTGTGTGTGTGTGTGTGTGTGTGTGTGTGCGCGCGCGTGTGTGTGTGCGCGTGTGTTTGGGGGGTGAGTGGGTTGCACTGTTCTGTCATTCTATGCCCTCAAGAAATGAGTTAGGCAGTCAGTACATCAGGACAGATCAGATTTCAAATATATACACACACACACACACACACACAGACATACATACATACATACATACATACATACATACATACATACATACATACATACATATATATATTTATTACACATACCATAGTTTGTAGACTCTAGAACATCCACACAAGAGTAAATAATATACAAAGGAATATATATATATATATATATATATATATATATATATATATATATATATATATATATTATTATACGAAGGAGTGCAACAAAATACATTTTAGCCTAAATTTATGAAGAAAGTTATAACATTTTTGCAAGTAAATAATCTAAGAAAAAACCTTTTTTTTTCACAATTTTCTGTATTTTTCCATTTATATAGCAAAATATAAAAAAAATGCAGTGGTGATTGAATACCACCAAAAGAAAGCTCTATCTTTCTAAGGAAAAAAAAATTAGAATTTCATTTGGGTACAGTGTGACAGCACTGAAATCTGAAAATTGGCCCACAGTGTAAAAACCTCCTAAAATATTTTGAAATTTTATAAATATATATATAAGTTCAAATAGAACAAAATAGAGAAAAGTCCCACTGTTTAAATTACAGTGTTAGATTTTTTTCTATTCCATAAAAGTTTATTCAAATTACAAATGTAAGATGACAGGCAAAAACTGCGTACATCGAGATGCAGCGTAAACATGGTAGATATGCAAGGCACACTGAACTGAACATTATATGTAATCCTAATACACACCATAAGCCTCAGCCAGTAATTATGAGAGTTAACAGAGTCAGATTTTAACTAATATTACCAGTAAAGCAGTCCCAGTCCACACTGTGTAAAACAGTTCAACTTTGGTGCTCCCAAAAAGTGCATGTACAGTGATCCACTCCAAGTATTCACTCCACATGCATCCCCACTTTGTGCTCGATATGCACGTCCGTCTGATAACTGACCCGTATATAATATAGGTCAAGGCACACCTTCCTCTTTTCGGATCATACCATCGCTCTCTCCCCTTCAGTACGCCAATATTGTTTTGCACATTGCACCTTCTTCCTCCAGAATATAGCTCTTTTCAGTTCCAGCAGATTTGTCTGTTTCTCAGGCTACACAGTAAATCCCCAGTTGGTCTAGCATGTAGCCTAGGGAACAGACAATCTGCTGGAGCTGAAAAGAGCTATATTCTGGTGAAAGGTTCAAGGTTTTTCCAATGAAGCACTTTTATTTTTTTTGCACATATTTGCCAGCACGCTGGGGAGAATATTTACACATTTATATATAATTAATTTCTGATATAGCAGTGCTGCACTAAATTGTAATGGATAGAAGACTGTGATGATAGAGCATCTCCAGAACTGCAGTCCTTGTGGGATGTATCTGGTCTGCAGTGGTCAGGACCTACCAAAAGTAGTCTAAGGAAGGAAAACTGGTAACCAGCAACAGGGTCATAGGTACATTGTGATGGCTCTAAGTCCAGGCCATGTAGACAGAATTCCTTTGGATGCTTGGACAGGGCAAAAGGATGTCCCCATTGAGATGGAATGCTGAAACCACCTTTGGAAGAAAGGATGGTCTTGGGTGTAATACAGCCTTGTTGTTGTGTACAGAAAGGGGGTCTGACATGAAGAAAACCTTGAATAAAAAGTTTTTTTTTTTTTTGTTTTCCTCACAAAGGAGTGCGAAGCTAAAAGGTCTTAGAAAGAGGATTGATAAGGCTGATACATGGCCTTTTAGCATGCGAATAACTAGATTCTGGTCAAGATCTGTTTGCAGGAAAGCCATAATGTAAGGTACAGAGTAATCTCTGGGACTTAACTGACTGTGCTTGCACCAGGCAAAGCAAGATTTCCAAGTATCAGAATAAATCTTGGCAGTCGCTTCTCAAGCTGGCCATACATGGATAGAAAATCATATAAAAAAAAAAAAACGCTCATTTTTGATAAAGATCTGTAGAACGAATAATAATACCATCGTTGTATCGAATTTGGCCTGTTGAGAAAAGGCTAGGGATCGTACCTGTTGGGAAAAGGGCAAGGGTCACACTAGAATACGGAGTATTGTAGTGTGTAAAAAAAAAAAAAATGGTTATGATTGTCTGAGACTGAACAGCATGGAAATTGCTGATGAGGTAGGTAAATAGGAACATGCACGTAGGCACCTTGGATATTTATGGATGCCATGTATTCCCCTTGCTAAGAGAGCCAATTACTGACCTTGCATATTCCATGCAAAAGTTTGGAATTTGAATTAATTTATTGAGTATAGGATGAATACCCTCACTGGACTCTAGTACTGTGAACATGTTTGAGCAGAATCCCTTGAACCTGTTCCACTACTGTATTGGCACAACTCCCTGGGACAGGTGGTTCAGGGCATTCTACAAATCTGAATGTCCCTGGACAGTTTTTGGTTGATTTGAAGCAGTAAGGCAGTAGAATTTCTGAACTCTATTATGTATCCTTGGAAACCACTGACTGAGCCAACAGGTCTGAGGTGCAAAGCCTTGTTCTGAAAGGAAGGCCTGAACTTAATTTTTGAAGTTGAAGCCTGGTTAGAGTGTGCAGGTGCTCTGCATTTAGAGCAGCTAGTGCTTCAGAGGAGGGTGGTTTTGGTATGTACTTCTGGGGAAACAAAACGTTTCAATCTGCGACCTCTGAACTTGTCAAGTGCCTAGTCAAACAGATTTTCCCTGAAGGGCCTACATGTGAGGTACTTTTACAGACAGCTTTTATCCATAAGATTCTGCAAATATAAACGGAGATTAGAGCCATTGTTGCATATTTGTCTGATGTGTTCCAGGGCATCAACACAAAAAAAAAGGAACATTTTCAATAGGTACAGTGAGAGATTTATGTTCAGGAGAGAAACAGCAGGGTCAACCACAGGAATAGCCAACGTTTTTGCAAACTTTTTTCACTGGATAGAGTTCAGCAAAGATTTTTGGGGCAGTGAAAATCCTTTCAGGAGTGACCCTATTGTTATAAATGGCACAATCTGTTCATGAACACCACGAATCCATGGTGTAAGGAAAGAAATTCAAGTCATCTATGGATCACAAAAAACAGAAATGTAAAAGTGGAGGTTAAAAAAAGTAGCTATTTTTTTCCCCTATAAAAGATAGCGCACATGATAAAGTCATAATAACCAATTGAACATTTCCACTATAGGCAAAAATACTATTGTATGGCAGTCTCTCAAATTCTGTTTCATCCAGACTGATAAAGAGCAATTAGCTCCTCAGGCATTGCTGTGCGCACATCACGTAGGCCTGACTGCCGGCTAGACAGGCTTTACTTTCAAGCGAACTGTCACACTGTACTTCAAGACTTATTTGCCTCTTAACAACAGACTAACTGGATCTGTACAGAGAACTCACACCATTTTATAATTTTGAAAATATCAAACTACAAGTACTTCAGAGAGCAAATATTTAAATGTTTGAAAAGTATTCTAAATATGTTGTCAGCCATGATTATGTCATCTTTGACCAGGAAAATTTCCTTAAGATCTTTCACTCTGGCTACTTTAGGAGCCCATTCCCACCATATGCATTGGTTTGTCCTGGACAGCCTTGCTCTTGCCCAACACAGTCGTACTGCATAGATATAGCAATTTGCCTTAAGTGCTATTAAAACGCATCACGCCATTGCTTCACAATGCACACCAGTGGCCTGCTGGTGTGAATGGGCCTTAAAGCCATAGCTTAATAAAGCAAAAAGACAAAAAATGGTTTTACAAATGTAACATACAAGCATGCATATGTACAAGCAACATACAGATTTGTACATGTGCAGGACGGGAAATGGTTTAGCAAATGCTACATAGCACACCAGGGCTGGCTAGATCACAAGAGTACATGCATTGTTGTAAAATGGCTCTACTAGGTAACAGCTTTTGCATGTGTTGTAATTTTGGCTGTAGCTATGGTTTATCTCACTGTCTGCTGTATGCCAAGTGGTCAAATATATAATAATGCACTTAGGGTAAAAAAAAAATCCTCTCACAGAGTACAATATTGTGGGCAGGCAGAAGAGAACGCAAACAGAATTTTAAGGTACATTAATAGAGAGATCACAGGCAGGAGGAGGGAGACCCATTTCCCCTATACAGAACTTTAGATGGGCCTTTGTCTAGAATACCGTTACCAGCTTTAGAGATCTCACCACAAAAAAGGTTGATTTTTTTAGACATCTATAAAGCGCCAAAAATTTACAAAGCGCTTAACATATTATATATTTATATCAGCCCCTGACTTCAGGAAGCTTACAATCTAAGGTAAACCAGCCAATGCTCAAAAGGACCTCTAGCAAACTCTGTAGGAACCCTGGTGGAGAATGGCTGCTCTTAAATCATTGTTGGATGGAAGCTTCATATGGAAGTTAAAAATTATTTACCATTACCAAGCTCTGCCCTAAATGAAAAGCATTTCCAATAAACTATTCCCTTAACACAAAAGGTAAACCTATCATAAATATCTTAATTTTTATGACATTAAACATAGTTCTAAAGCCTTAATATATTTCACCTCACTCAATCAAGCGCTATACCCATCTGTAGCAGCTCTCATTCTCACAGGTTATGGTGAGGTAGAGGGAGCGCTAATTAAACAAACATTTTTGTGACAATGATACATAAACCAAAAAAAGTTGTGCAAATATTCATAAAAATATAAATACTCAAAACCACAAATATTTCATAAATGATTAAAAAAAAGTCTCTAATATTTTTCAATTCAAAAGCTGCATAATTGTTGAAAATCCACCACCAATTGTGTAAGAATCAATCACCAACAGAATTTAATAAACTCACCAGAGCAAATTGCTAGTAAAATTATAAACTAGCAAATATTGTTGGCTCTGGGAGCAATGGTCTGCAGATTGATGACCGGCAACAGAAGATGTTTCTTAGAATGTACAGATCTTCATATAACATATACGCTCAAAAGGAAGAGAATAGAGCAGGAAATAGTGTGATACTGTATAGCAGGTTTTTTATTAACCACAAGCCTACAGGGCACTTATACCGCCTTCCTGCCCAGGTCAATTTCCAGCTTTCAGCGCTGTTGCACTTTGAATGACAATTGCGCGGTCATGCAACACTGTACCCATATGAAATTTTTATAATTTTTTTGTGACAGATAGAGCTTTATTTTGGTGGTATTTAATCACTTCTGGGTTCTTTATTTTTTCTTAAACAGGCCAAAAACCACAGAAAATTTTGAAAAAAAAAAAACCAAAAAAAAACGTTTTTTCTTAGTTTTTGTTATAAAATTTTGTAAATAAGTGATTTTTCTCCTTCACTGATGTGTGCTAATGAGGCTGCACTGATGGGCACTGATCGGCTGTACTGATGGACACCGATGAGGAGGCACTGGTAGGTGGCACTGATGGGCATTGACAGGCATCACTGATAAGCACTGAAAGGCAGCACACATATATGGCACTAATAGGCGGCACTGACTGGCAGCACTGATAGTTGACACTGAAAGGCAGCTCAGATGGGCACTGAAATGTGGCACTGGCATGTGGCATGGATGAGCACAGATGGACACTGACAGGTGGCGCTGCTGGGGCTACACAGATCATCAGGGCACACTGATCATCAGTGCTCTGATGATCTGTGTACACGTCCCTCCGAGGAATGCAGATTGCAGTCAGCGTGACAGCTCATGGGAAGAGAAATGCCGATGACCGGCATTTCCCTGTTTACATGTGATCAGCTGTGATTGGACCGATCGCCGCACTGCACGCTCCGGGAGCCACGCATGTGTGGTTAGAATGGGAGGACGTCATATGACGTCCTCCCAGAACGAGAGAACCGCCTTGCGTCCGTCATATTACTATATGGCGGGCAGGAGGCGGTTAAAAGCTTATTATCCAAACAACTCACATTTTTAAGTGTCACAAGCCGACACTAGCATAGACCGCAAAAACACATAAAACAGCTTCAAAAGCCAGAGACGCCAGCAGCTTACGGAATGAGGTGACGTCACTCCGAGGATCCACCCTACGTGTTTCGTTACTTGACGTCTTCACGGAGCGGAAGGTTGAACGTCACCACATACAGGCAATTTATACTCCACACGATGGGCATATGGGAACAAATTACTATGGCAAAACGTGCATGCAAATACCATTCTAAAACAACTTCAAGCAATTCTAACATTCTAATACAGAATACTTATATGGTAAACACTATATACTAAATTTGCGCACTAAAAGAACCAATTATTATTTAAAGGGCCAGTAAAACTTAAGGCAGAACCCTACCTCTCGGCGCACAACAATCTAAAAAATAAATAAAATAAGTGTACACCGAAAGAGGGAATCAACAGCCTATCAAACCTCTAGTAGATCAAAACATACATAGATTATCTCAATATAAACGAATATAAGCATAAAATTAATTAATTTGTATATTATGTCACAAATGTATAAGTTTCAGCTCATCTACCCCACCAACTCAGGCCGGGGTACCATCTAGAATAGCCAACACTCAATAAGTGAAACAAGGAAAAAAAATTTTTACATCAGCATCAAATACATCTAGAAATCTGAGAAAACAATTTAAATTGATGTCAATATTTAACCCATGGAGTTGCAAGGTATTTAAATTATAAATCCAATGGGTTTCCCTTTTGGAAACCTCCTTTAGCATATCTGTTCCTCTCCAATGATGATCAATTTTTTTTTGAAATCCGTAATAAACATAACTCCTTCGTTTACCTTACTGTGATTTTTGCTTTTCTTAAAAAGAGATTCTCTATCTTTATGTAAGACATGGTCTCTTTCTTTCTCCAAAAATGAACTATTATATCCTTTCTCTATGAACCTCCTCATCAGCGTATCGGTTTGTGCTATGAAATCTGTATCTCTATCACAATTTCTTTTGATTCGAGTGAATTGGCTCCTAGGGGTAATATAAAGCCACCTGGGGTGGTGGCAACTCGAGAGAGGTATATAGCTATTCCTGTCTATAGCTTTAAAAAAAGATTTAGTATAAATTTGACCTTCAAATTTAAATAAAGTGAGGTCCAAAATATCTACTTGAGTCACTAGTCACTGTAAACATCAAACCATAATTATTATTGTTAACAACCTTGGAGAATACAGCAAGTTAATCCTGGGTACCTTTCCAAATAATAATGTCATCAATGTACCTCCTGTATAGTGCCACCTCTGGCTATCTATCATAGATACATTCCTCTTCCCATTTAGACATCACCAGATCAGCAACACTAGGGGTGTATTTAGCTCCCATAGCTATACCCTTGCTCTGTTGAAAAAAAAAATGTTTTTATACCAGAAAAAAAATATTTTTTAAAGCAAATTCTAATAGTTCGACAATAAACTGAGTTTTTTTTAGTTTACTTTTAGGTTTCAATGCCAAATGAACCGCTTTAATACCATCATCTTGATCAATGCTGGTATACAGTGACTCCACACCCACTGTCACCAGCAAAAGATCTGCATTATTTATAGACCTCAAGGTTTTAATCAAGTCTCCACTATCCTTAAGAAAGGACCTATTTTTCACCATTTCTAGCAAATAATAGTCAATATATTTGCAATTTCTGGCAAACATGGAATTTATACCACTAACGATTGGTCTAGTACAGTGGTGGGCAACCTTTTTTTTCAACTGAGCCAAATCTCGCCAAAACCACGACTGAAATTTATTTTTAAAATCACACAGAAGAGCCGCATTAAAGTGTGTAAAGAGCCGCATGTGGCTCGCGACCCACGGCTTGCCGACTACTGGTCTAGTAGGTGGTTTACTCTTATGTTTATGGCATTTTGGCAAATAATTTTATTTTTTTTTTTTAGATTTTTTGTAGGGTTCCTAGTTCATTTTTCATAAGTGTCTTATCATTAATAACCGCTCCATCTCCTCCTCATAATCAGATTTATTTAATACTACTATACTCCCTCTTTTATCTGCTGCTTTAATAACATTCGTTTTTTTTGTTCTAATTCTTTAATACCAAATCTCTATTTCATGAGGAAATCCATTTCTATTATTTAGATGTTTTTAATATCATTCTCCACCCCGCCCCCCAAGTTTTTAAATATTTCTAAAAATTCGTTCCCCTTATTTTTAGGATTGAACGTGAACGCATTATTTAGTTTACTATGTTGAAAATTACTATCGGAATGCAATTTATCATTATTCACTAACTTTTTATTTAATTCAAAAAACATTTTTATATTCAGTTTTCTCACAAATTTCTGTACATCTATGAATGTATCAAATTTATTAACATAGGCCCGTGGAATAAATGTTAAACCTTTATAATTTTATCATTTAAATACCTTGCGACCCCATGGGTTAAATGTTGACATCAATTTAAATAGATTTTTCACAGATTTCTAGATGTATTTGATGATGATGTAAAAAATGTTTTTCTCCTTGTGTCACTTATTGAGTGTTTGCTATTCTAGATGGTACCCCGGCCTGAGCTGGTGGGGTAGATGAGCTGACACTTATACATTTGTGACATAATATACAAATTAATTTTTTTTTTTTATTATATTAGTTTATATTTAGATAATTATGTATGTTTTGATATACTAGAGGTTTGATAGGCTGTTGATTCCCTCTTTCGGTGTACACTTTTTATTTTATTTTTTAGATTGTTGTGTGCCAAGAGGTAGGGTTCCGCCTTAAGTTTTACTGGCCCTTTAAATAACAATTGATTCTTATATGGTAAACACTATATACTAGATTTGGGCACTATAATTATTATGTATTAGAATATTAGAATTACATGAAGTTGTTTTAGAATGGTATTTGCATGCGCATTTTGCCATAGTAATTTGTTCCCATATGTCCATCGTGTGGAGTATAAATTGCCTGTATGTGTTGACGTTCAACCTTCCACGCTGTGAAGACGTCAAGTGATGAAATGCGTAGGGTGGAGCCTCGGAGTGACATCACCACGGTCTGTAAGCTGCCGGCGTCTCTGGCTTTTGAAGCAGTTTTATGTGTTTTGCGGTCTTATGCTAGTGTTGGCTTGTGACACTTAAAAATGTGAGTTGTTTGGATAATAAGCTTTTAATAAAAACCTGCTATACAGTATCACACTATTTCCTGCTCTGTTCTCTTCCTTTGAGCGTATATGTTATATGAATATCTGTACATTATAAGAAACATCTTCTGTTGCTGGTCATCAGTCTGCAGACCATTGTTCCCAGAGCCAACATGCGATTTGCTAGTTTATAATTTTACTAGCAATTTGCTCTGGTGAGTTTAATTCTATTGGTGATGGAGTCTTACACAATTGGTGGTGGATTTTCAACAATTATGAAGCTTTTGAATTGAGAATTTAGAGAAATTTTTTTGAATCATTTATGAAATATTTGTGGTTTTGAGTATTTATATTTTTTATGAATATTTGCACAACTTTTTTTGGGTTTATGCATCACGGTCACAAAAATATGTTTAATTAGCACTACCTTTTCTTTTGATTTTTGTTATTACTACCTCTAGTAGAGGGTGAGGTTTAGCAGCTTGATTTTTGGATTTCATTTTTTCCCACTTATATGTTATTTCACTGAGGTAGAGAGAAGCATCGGCTCCCACTGCTGTCAGTCAAATCCTGTAATGTGGCAGTGTTAGGGTGGGGTTGGGCCGAGCCACTGTGTCTATGGATGCAGGCACTGTGGCTCAGGATCAATCCCGCAGGTGGGCCCCATAGGAATCTGCTTCCTATGAGGCCCACCAAGAAAAGTAGCCAGAATCCCCAGAAGGGGACATGAGAAGAGGCTATTCAGGGCCGCTATGTGCAATTCCATTGCACAGAACAGGTAAGTGTTACTGTATGATATATTTTATGGTAGAAAGACATTTCAAATGCATTTACCTTTGCAAGAGATCGTACAATGGGGTTTTCCATTATTCCCTTCAGGAATATAATATCAATTTCTTCTGCCCCCGTTGAAGAGGGCAGATCAGTCAATTTCTCCAAAACTTGCTGCATGTCTGTAAGAAAACAAAATACATTAAATTAAAAGGAGTTTTTTGGTCACAACATACACTTTAATTTTATAACATCAGCACTATAATAGCAATACAAAATAGTTATTTTTAATAATCCAATAAAAGCTTACTTGAAAAATTTCCTTTTATGTAATAAGCTCTGCCTGTCTGCTGGCCTTCCCTTTCCACAACTCCCTGAATAAGCTGCATACTCTGCAGCTTCTCTTCATTCCTTTGGATTAGACTTGATTTCTAAGAACTACGTATCCCATGCTACCTTGCTGACTGCAAGCTGCGATTCCTGTACAGAATATCTCCTGAAACTCCTCCTCTATGCACCTCTGCAGTTCAGAATGCAGGCTTTTTGAATTCTATGATACAACTTTCAGGGCATAGTGAACGTGTCACAGAATTCAAGGAGGAAAATTTATGTGATATTCTTCACAAAACAAGTTCACAAACTTCAAAATCATTCAGATTAATAGAAACAGACCAGAAATAAATGAAATAAACAGGAAATAAAAATTTTGACCATAGATGTGCTTTAAAGAGATTGTAAAGATTTTTTTGTTTTTTTTTTAATACAGATATTATACCTCCCTGCTCTCTGCAATGCTCTTGCAGAGTGGCCCTGAACAGTGGTGAAGCTAGATATTCTCTTTCACCCGGAGCAAAGACTCAGTTCAGTGCCCCCCTTCTCCCAAAGAGGACAGTATCACTAGGGCTGAGGTTGATGTCAGTAGGACTGTGGATGATGTCAGTCAGTAGGGAAAGAGGGTTTTTTGTCAGCAGGCCAGTGGACAGTGTCAGCAGGGCAGTGCACGGTTTCAGTATGACAGTGTCAGTTTTTTATTTTTTTTAATACATTTTTATTTTTTTTTTAGAAAATTATTTTTATTTTTTTACAATTTTTTAGGAGCCCTGTTGGGGGGATTTGGTGAAATATCACGGGTCTAAACAGACCTCTGATGTTCCACCTTTGAGACAGAGAAAGGGACTGAGGACAGACTCCACAGTCCCTTTTTTCTGCAGCCTCAGGGGCATCCCCATGGATTGGCTTCTGGGACAAAGGACAGAGCAACTGCGGGACAACTGTCTAGAAAATGGAACTGTCCCAGAAGATCTGGGACACTTGGCAACTATGAGGGGCAGCTTTCCAAAATTTGCCGTCTTACTGTTGACAGGTGGCAAGCAGTTGGGAGAGATGTTGCTGTGGTGTCTGTGAAAGCAGCACCAGGGACCTGAGGCAACCACCATGGATTCAGGGCATGCTACTGTATAGATCTATTATTAAGGTCTGGTTTGTTATAGCCATTATAAAACTATATTAAACCCAAATAAATATCCACATGTTCACATTACCAACAAATAAATATAAAAGTACATTCACAATGCCTATGACGACTTTAGAAACTTTACACATCTTCAAACACATAATGATGACAATAGGATATCTCTAATAGCAACCTAACATCCCAATGATGATGATCATAGATATCTGCAAACTTCCTTACTGCACTACCAATACAAACTTCTAATTGCTGACATAAAAATATCAAATTTGGCTTTTCCATTCTATTTTACAAACAGACCTTTGGAGATGTCTGTAACCACTGGATTCTTCTCCACTGTGTGCTCCAGGCAGCAGCCATCGGCTTAGCTCATCCTTCCACAGCCTGTGTCTCTCTCTCTCTCTCTCTCTCTCTCTCTCTCTGGCATTGAAAGATGCCCTGCTCCTCCCCCCAGCAGCTGTGTCCTCCATGCAGAGCTCTGCAAGCACAGAGGCATGAGAGAGAGGGAGGAAGGAGGGGAAAGGATCTGACAGATGCAACAGCCTGTGCATGTAAGGGAGGACTGCTCTGTTCCAGGTGCAAACAGCTAAGCGGGACTGTTGGCAACTATGCACAGCCCAAAACTCCTCCCGACTCTCTCCTCCCACCTAGTGCTGCACTGATAGAAGCAGTGATGCCGATGTCACTACTCCTGTCAGTGGTGGCAACCCCCCCCCCCCCAATGTGGCACCTGGGGCATATGTCCCCCCTGCCGCCCCCCCCCCCCCTAGTTTCGGCCCTGAACCTCCTCTTCTTGAGTCCAACGCTAACGCTCTTGGCTCCTCTTCCCCATAACAAGACAACTGTAGCACCCCTCCTCACACAATCTGATTGATAGCAGCAGGAGCCAATGGCTCCCGCTGTTGCCTCCAAGTCCTGGGAGGAGGAGAGAGCGAAGTACTGCAGCAGACAGGCACAGCGTTGGATCGAGATTGGACTCACATAAGGACCGGGAGGGAGCTGGTCACGGAAAGTTTTTAACCTTAATGCAGAGAAAGCATTAATGTAAAAAACCTTTAGTCTTCACAACCACTTTAAATTGAGGATGGATACCAAGGAGTCAGATATGGGCAGGAAACCTTGTCAAACAAAGGCTTCATACATGTGAGATCATCCCATTATTTATGCTAAATGCTTGCCAGCTCCAGTTTCATGAGAATTGTATTCAGGACTCTCACCCTTAGGGATGCACCGAAATTTCGCCCAAAGTAACATATCGGCCGAAAATAGCCCTACTGGCATCTAGCTGATAGGACAAATTTAGCTACTACAGGGGACTGTGTGTACTGCAGATGTGAAGGAGGGAGGGGGCAGCGGAAAAAGGCAGGAGAAGAACAGTGTATACAGTGACTGGCTGTCACTATATGTTTCCTTTAGCTCAGGGGAAAGTGGCAGCTCATTATCTGAGCTATAGTGAAAAAAAAAAAAAAAAAGCCGGCAATTGCATTTAAACACCGGCACTGACATATTGTAACAGCCAGTGAGGGAGCCTCTCTGTATACACTGCTCCTCTCATGCCCCCTCCTTGCACCCCCTCCCCCCTACATAGATGGCCTGTCACTCATATGCTATCACATAGGGGACTATTGGTCCCCTATGTGATAGCAATAAAATCATAAGTTAAAAAAAAAATATACATGAAAAAAGAAAAAAAAAATTGGAGCCTCCCCTCCTCCACATACGCAGACGCAGACATTTCGGTTTCGGTTCGATTTTCGGCCACATGTATTCTGAATTTTCGGTATCAGTACCAGAATTTTCATTTCGGTGCACCACTATTCAATTTCATTGAGATAAATTGGATAGAGAAAAACACAGCTTCTAGTGGCAGAACCATTTAGATCTCAAAGTTTAATTTGTAACAGCTGACTTCATAAAAAACACCATGAATAATTTCTTGTCCTTGCTCTACATGCTTTCGAGGAATCCTGCAAGAGAACCATGGAGCCAGTTGTCTAACATTTTACCAGGACAGTATTTTACCAGCCTGCTGCCATTGTTGTTATTAGGAAAATGAGCACAAAGCGGTTACCTTTCCTAGTAAAAGTAGTAACTTTGCTCTTGCTTCAGTACTTTAAGCCATCTATCTTTAACAAGGAGATAAGGACCTTTGACTTCCTTTGAAGCCCAACTACAGGCAACTAAAAAATCCTAGGGGAACAGTAAAAGAAGATTTATTTAAACGCTCCTCCTTGCTGCTAGACAAGTTCTAATATCCTCCTCTTCCCCAGTCTAGCAGCCTAGAATCCTGATGTCATCAAGGGCAAAGCAGAGTCCAAAGGCTTGCAATGGACGTGATCATGTTAGGGGACAGCACACTGTCGGAAAGTTAGGGAGCTCTGTCTACTGAGGAAGCAGATGATCAGGTAAGCAAGAAATGGTTTCTCCTCTCCCCTAGAGAAAGCAAGTGGGGACATTTTTAATTTCCCCAGAGTTGGGTTTTAAGTCACTGACCTGGAATATGTATGTAGACCAGTAAAGTCAAAGTAATGAAGCCAATATTTTAGCTGAACTGCCAGTCAGCTAGCATCTTCATGTATCCATAGATAACAAACAACATCTTATCTCAGCTTTGAGAGCAGTGATCACAGGCCAGGCCAGTGTAAATAATTCCATTTACAATTAGCTTGTATGCAGTCTGCACTGTAACATTAGGCGATCAAACAGATTGCATGAATTTCCCAACAATGTAGAGAGCACGTCTGCAGAACATCAGTTCACAAGAAAATCATCCCTCTAGAGGAACATCGTTTTCTTAAATTGGAGGTCTGCAAATCACATGGGGTGGGAAATGGCAAGGACTTAACTGCATACAAAGGCTGCAGTTTGTGACCACCAGTGATTGCATAAGTGCAGTGCAGCATAAATATAGTTTATGGCTCCCATCAGTAAACTCAATAACTTTGGGAAAGAGATGCATTTCCAGTTCTCATTCTAAGTCTGTGCTTTCAGAGTAGATACAGACAAGCTGAATGCATACAAATAATTTTTACACTGACCTGGGCCTTCAGTTGTAGCAATTAAACCATAGGGTAATAATTAAAATGAGGCTTGATGTAATCTAATTTATTAATGTAGTTGTAAAGGCTGAAGATTTTTTACCTTCATGCACTCTATGCATGAAGGCAAAAAAAAAAAAAAAAACCACCACACACTTTCTGCATGCAGCAGGCCCACCCCAATACTTACCTGAGCCCCATCGCAATACAGCCATGTGCGCAAGAACCTCAGCTATCCAGGGACTCTCCCTCCTCACTGGCCAATGGCTCCTCCTGCTGTCAATCACAGCCAGTTAACCCGTGAGGAGAGAGGGGTGCTGGGCCAAGATGAGGCTCTGTATGTGAATGGACATTCAGAGCAGCAGCTTGGGAGTGAGCTTGTTTGCGTGCCCCCATAGCGAGTTGTATTCTCTGGGGACACTTGGCAGGAGGGAGGGGCTAGGAGTGCCAGCAGGGGACCCGAGAAGAGGAGCAAAAAAAAAAAAAAAAATTACCTTCAACATCTCCTTAAAAAAGAGCCAGTGTAGTACAGCTGTGTTTTAAGATCACTGGGAGTTATACTGTGTCTTTGCCCCTCCTCATCTTTGATAGTCAAGACATGCTGGAAGAGCAAATATACTTCTGTTCCATTTATTTAGAAAAAAACAATTTAACAGTGTTTACTACTTCTA